GCCACTCACCGCAGCTCACCTTCCTCCTCCGCTCCCCCACCAGCGGGCATGGAGGCGTTTCCACGTCCTGGCTGTCGGGAGCCGTGGTGCCAGGGGCGTGAAGGGCAGCGACTCCAGGAGATCCTGGTTTTGTTCCTTCGGGGTCCCCTGCGTCAGTACATGGTGCTCGGGCCACGCACACCCCACGCACAGCCTTGCTCTCGGCCACAGCAGGACCTCGAGTCTCCTCCTGTGCGAAGTGAGAGCTGGACCAGGGTCCCGCCCGGCTCTGAACGCACTCCCTCCCTCAGCAAGTGCTCATGGGGCGCCAGCTGCACCGGGCACCGTCAGTGTGGCTCTACTGTTCAAGAAATCGCTGCATTTTATGACGCACGTTCCTTCTGGGGGAAAGGTGTTCCTGGACCCACACGCAGCCACACTGCTTTCCTTATGGCCCCCGATTCCAGCAGGCCCCGCGCCCTTCCCCGGCCCTGCCCACGCGCCACGGGATGCCCCCGGGTGTGCGCGGCTCTAAGGCTCTGGCAACTTCCTCGGGCCTGGTTGAAGGCACCGTGATGTGCCGGTCGCGGGGAGGTTGCGGGCTATGACGGGTGACACGGGCTGCCTGGCCCTCTGCCCAGCCACCAGGAGCAACCATGTGACACCTGAGCCCAACACCACAGTCCCAGAGAACCATGCGGCAGACATGCCACCGTTCGCCACCCGCTCTGCCATTCCAACGCCTGGGCACAGTGCTACCCGCGGGCAGGCTGCTGCCGTCGGAGAGGGAGGTTTCCGAACAGAGCAGACGCCTCCTGTCCCCCCAAAGCCCGGGTCAGCCAACTGGGCTTCCTGCTGGTTCGCAGGGAGCAGAGCGGTGAGGGGTGTCTTAGCTCAGCGCCGCCCGGCACCCCCAGGAGGGGAGAGAGGGCAGGGAGGACGGGGTGCTTCGTGTGAAGTGCGGGTGCTTCCCCAGCAGCGAGGGAGCCCGCTCCCACCCGGGCCCCAGGCTCCGCTGGGCAGGTGCCAGGTGGGGCGGTGAAGGTGCCTCGCATGCCTCCTGCTTTCACTTGGGGAGCGCTCAGGGCGGACAGGCCGGGGCAGGTGAACTTCCCTGCCGGGCCGTGCTTGGCACACAGAACCCGGGCGCAGGCTGGTGACCTCAGCAGGAGGAATGGAGGATCCGCATGCATGCCGTGTCTCACCTTCAGCGCGGCTGACATGGCGGGTGGGCTGTCCTGGGCGTGAGAAATGTTTTGTGCATCCCTGGACCCTACACGCTCGATGCCAGTACCACACTACAGTGTGAAAACCAAAAATGACTCCAGACCTTGCCCACTGCCCTGGGGGTCTGGGGATGCCTGCAAAAGTGTCCCCCGGTGAGAGCCACTGGCCTAGACTCCACATCCCGCTGTTGTCACTGCACTGGCGCCTCCGGTCCTAGGCCGCCCGCAAGTCCTGAGTTTGAAGGTAACGCCTTGCGTGTAGGTGACAGTCATTACACTTGGAGGACAGACGCCACTCAATTCGAAATGAGCAGAACACACACCAACAGAGCTGTGCTTTCTCTTCCTAAAAGACGCCAGTTTACCATCCGGACACGTAGCTGCCACAGTCTATTTTAACAACAACAAAAGAGGGCTACAGACAGCCCTCCACCCCAGTAAAGCCACGGGCAACACCCATCCCCATTTCCCACGGTAAGACGGGAAAGGAGATTTTGTGAAATGTTCACAAGCAAAATCAAGCCCACGTCTCTCCGCAGCCACACAGACCTGCTGTCGTTGCCCCGTTTTGATTTCTTCTGGTTCCCTCTATTTTATGTCTTCTGGTGGGAGGGCTCAAAAATCACCTCGTTGCTGGTTCAAAATATTCCCCGTGCACTTACATAGAGTGCACTGCGCGAACCCCCTCCGTAAAGGAGACTGTCCCCCACATCCACACCCCGCAGGAGGATGGATGGGAACCGGGGAGGGGGGAGGCGTGCACGGAGTGTTGAAGACCATGTGATACTTGAGACATGAGTCAGGGAATTAAGTGAACGTTGCTTTCCCTGACCTTGACATTCCATTTCATTTCACTGACAACCCGTCTTCTCATCACGGTGCCAACTCGGGCAGATCCAGACACACACAGACAGACGGACGGACAGGACACAGCTCTGCCTTTGGTCACTGACTGTCCAACTCTCTGGGGTGGAGTGAGCTTGCCGGGCACAGCATCTCCTGAGGTTCCAGTCCCTGGTTACTTCCCGGCTGAGGTCCAACTGACTTTCCTTTGACGTGATATTTAAGCGCTGCCATGGCTGTGGCGGCCATCCTGGCCTCATCCTGTGCACGCAGAGTCATCAGCTGTCTCGTCATCACTACGGGGCCTCTGCCGAGCACCTATGGCTCCGAACCGCCCGCCCGTGTCTACGGATTTGCGTTTTTTAGAGAAAATAGAAACCCAGGCCCCTGCGCGGTTCGGATGATGGCGGACGCTGCAGGGAACTCCTAGACCCGGTGCACGCAGACTTCGGGCCACGGTTGTGTGAGGTCAGGCAAGGCTTTTCCCTGATCATCCCACGCTAATCCAAGTGCTGATTCAGCGAAAGGACTTTGGAACCCATGGGTGTTGTTTACTTCAGAGGTGATTCCACAGAAGTAAATAAGGAAGAAAACTCGCGTCACGGACCTGGAGACAGGCCTGTTTGCCTGCACCTCAATCCAGGAAGGCAGGTGAGAAAATCCCTGAGTGAAGGCCACTCCAACCGGATCCTTTGCTGGCTTCAACCAAGACCTTTTCCCCACTTTTTTTGTTTAATACACTCATGCTTGTCAGCGGCTAAAGGTGTTAAGATTTGAGGAGTTTGTATGGAATGCAAGCCCCTTAGTGAGGTTCGGAGCATGCAGAACGTGATTACATAGCACCACTGAGTCCGTGGCTGAATGGACCACATGTTGTCTTTTCGCACAGAGCGTGTGCCTAGCGTGTGGCTACGCCAGCACCTACCCCCCCACCCCCCTTCCCCCTGCGCTCACGCCATTTAGATGCCACAGCAGAAGCCCGGGCGCCTCGGCCCACGGCTCCCTCTGAGGGCTCACATCTGCGCACAGTCAGCGACGCTGCCATCCGGTGTGCAGTCACCACATTCACCGCAACTGAGGCCCAGGCGGCACCGGCTCAGGGCTGCCCACTGCTGTGGATTCGGGCGGACCGGGAAGTGGCCAGGGTCTTGGTCACAGCCTCAGAGGTTCCCACGGAGAAAGCAAACACACTCCTTCTCACCCAGCGGATGCGACTCCTCGATGAGTAATCGCAGCATCTTCTGCTGCGGGGCCGCCGCCCTCACCTGGCAGTGGGCGCTGTTTACAGTAGAATTCCCCGTGTCCCCGTGACCCCTCACCCGGTCGACGGCATAAAGGAGACACAGAGGCCACTAGTCTCTCCTGCTCCCGTAAACAAGATGAGATAAACAGCCAGGGCCAACGTTTTGTTAACCCGAGGTTTTCTGGGAAAAGGCCTGCTGTCCCCACAGCGCGGTCGGTGGAAACCCACACTTTAGCGGTGGACACCGAAAAGCAGAACCCAAGACCGGCTCCCCCCAGGACTCGCCGTGCGGCCTGGAACGCAGAGTGAACGCCAGCTCAGGAGCCGTTCACAGGTCGCCCTGCAGCATGTCAGACCGGCTCTGACACAGCGCAGCGACGGTGAGGTCATCGCCAAGGCCTGCTCCTCCCATGCTTTTATTTACTGAAGCTCCGACCCAGTGGATGTTTTTTTCGGTTTTATCAGGGAATTCACATGATTACGCAAACCTTCCAAGCCTACCTTTTCCTTAAAAAAAATATTTGTATTGATTTCAGAGAGGAAGAGAGAGGGACAGCAAGATAGAAACATCAATGAGGAGAGAGTTTCATTGATCGGCTGCCTCCTGCACACCCCACACTGGGGATATTGAGCCGCAACCTGGGAATCGAACCCGGTACCCTTCAGTCTGCAGCTGATGCTCTATCCACTGAGCCAAGCGGCCAGGGGCCCCCTTTTCTTAACTGTGTCTGACTTCTACCCGACTTCCGCCCTGGGTCCCAGGATGACGCTGTCTTTGAAGAAAGGCGGTGGTTCCGAAGGAAGTTTACAGGCAAATAATCCACTTTTTATATTTTCCTGGGGTAAAAAGAAAATCTTGCTTCTGACCAGATCCCAATCCGGTGCAGAGAACTCAGCCACGACGTGGGGAAACACAGAACAACAGCGTTCCTTTTCTC